CGAAATACAGAACTAAACGTGTGCAAGCTCTTTTCGTTCCACTGCCCATGTTTAGGGATATCTCGTCTAGTTCTTATGTTTAATACACCATTATTGCGCGCGCTATCTCCACTGAGTCCAAGTACACACTCATGACCTTGAGATTGAACTCTCACTTACAATGTCACTAAATTCTTGAACCAAATTTTTAATCCACTAGGCTATATTTCCGTAGAATTCCCTGTACGTTTCGGCCGTTTTACCCAACGGTCTTCATCAGGTGTGTATCGATCCGAGTAACCTATAATGAATTCTGAAGTGAACCCCTTATAGTGGAAGATTGTTCTCGCTCCTCAGCCCATGTCTAGTGATATTTTGTTCAGTTCTTATCTTTAGTAGTTATTGATCGCCCTGTTTCGACTGAGTCCAAGTAGACAGAGAATGAACTCATAATTACTATGTCACCAATTTCACGAATTAATGCATTAATCAACCATGCTATTTTCTCGTAATAATCTGCTGTAGATTAGCCGGATCGATACACACCTGATAAAAGCCGGAGACACAACGGCCGAAAGTTTGTGATAGCAACAACAAAAATGAGGACAATAGTCGGCATCTAAATAAATAGTGTAAATAATTTATATAATCTCAGCCCAAGTGAGGGTGCATCCCCACCCAGGTTGTACCACTCCTAAGTGGGGCTAGATTAAACTCCTGGTGACTGAGGCAATTTTCAAAACAGCCAGTCTTCTTTCTTCCTCTTTTCAGTTGGCTTTCCCTGTTGCTGTACTCAATCAAGATAAGCAAATCGCAGAGACAACAGATCAAACATTTCTGTGGTTTGATAATCGCTGCTATCTTTTGTTTTCTTAAAAATTTTATAGAAATTTAATCCTGGATTAAGGGGTCTCCAAATCATCTTTCCCGGTTTAGATTTGGGAGTATTTACAAATATTTCTACTTATATTTGAAAGATAATTTCTGACATACGCCTCAGGAAAAATATCTGATTGATTCTGCGGAAATTTCTAACAGAAAAATCAATAATTCATATTTAAGAACAAATGCTATCATAATGCACAAATTCCATGTATTTCATGTATTTGAAGCATATTTTTAATATATTATTTAATTACATGTAGTCTAAGAACTACAGGATCTAATACTGCGAAAATAAGAACTAGACAATGATGAAGGCCTGGAAGCCCAAGAGCTGAAACGTTATGATAAAAACAAAAATAAAGACAATAGTTCACATCTAAATAAATAGGGTAAATACTTTATATAATCTCAACACAAGTTAGGGTGCATCCCCAATCTGGCTGTGTCTCTCCCAAGTGGAAATAAATTAAACTCCTGGCGAATGAGGAAATTTTCAGAACAGCCAAGTTTTTTTTCTTCTCAAGATAAACAAATCGCAGAGACAACAAATCAAATATTTCTGTGGTTTGATAATCGCTGCTATCATTTGTTTTCTTAAAATTTTATAGAAATTTAATCCTGGATTAAGGTGTCTCCAAATCATCTTGTCCGATTTAGATTTGAGAGTATTTACAAATATTTCTGCATAAAAAGATAATACGGCTCAGGAAAATTATCATTTGGATTGATTCTGCGGACATTTTTAACAGAAAAATCGATAATTCATGCGGCCTGACGATTGCGTCTAACATGAAACAGCCTGTCGCCACTGAGTGTTGACTTCAATGTTTTCTTTTATATTTATATTTACATACGCTCCATATTTGATATTGAATACTTTATCCCATAAATATAGTACATCTTAAGACTATATATATATATATATATATATATATATATATATATATATATATATATATAAGTATGTATAAACGCAGGTATGCAGAAAATAGAAAAGAACACGTTGGATGCATAATCCGGGTTCGAATTTTCGTTTTTTATTTTTATGACAGTGATCCATACAAAGTTCTTATATTATAATTTTTTTTGTTTTTATGATTTTCGCTACATAAGATGTTTCAAAAACAAGACCCGTTTCATCTTCAAGCGAAATTTTAGGAATAAGCTATCACATACATATTTTTCATTATTAGATACTTAATGATCCATCAACAAATTTTCGCATTAAATAATTAGCTAAAAAATTCCATAGTATAATTAAAGTTAATAAAAGCTAGCCAAATCATTAGGAAAAACCCTTTCTGTAATCGTCTACAAACAAATTGAAATTCAGTGCAATACGGTTTGTATATAAAATACCCACTTGAATAAACAAATAAATAAATAGATAAAAACAATAATAAAACACAATCCTCGCGACACATAACGATTGTCGCGCCATAAAATATCCCTCACTGGGAACTAACATAAGAAATAGATACCCTCATGTTTTAACGAAACTCCCACAATAACGAATGTTATGACGAACCATGAAAACCATCCAAAAAAGATAATTATTCCTAAAATTTCGTTGAAGATGAAACGGGATTAACACCTCAATTCAACTTAATTTTAATAATTATTTGGATGGTTTCGGCTCTCGTTTTGAAACATGAGAACTCTTATGTCTGAAGGAATCATATTTTTAAACAAAAAAAATTTTATATATATATATATATATATATATATATATACAAAATATACGTACAAAATTTTTTTGTTTGATTTCTTCAATTTGTTCGGATTCTCTATCCAACTTACGCACATTTATAAAGCCTCTGATTGTAGCATCATCTGACACAGATCAGTGCTATGATATGTAGAGTGTGTATTACAAGACACTGTCAATTGACCATTTTAAACAGTTCTCTTGTGCAGGTTGTTCAGTAAAAACTTGATGAACCATCACGGGAGAATTTGTTGAACCCTCCTGAGAGAATCCATCCCTTCATATATACCAACGCATATGCAAAGAGGGAGGAATAAATATTACGAGAACATTCGTATCCATGTTTTGATATGTAATCTTTGATAAGGCTTAATCTTCTCCCGGCATATATCTACGCACAGAACTTAAACTTCACTTAATTTTCTCTTTAACGTCGAAATCCTATTATCTCTGAATCTACTGGTTGTATCGTCAAGACAACAGAAAAAGGTAAATCATTTTTATCACGTTTGATTAATATATGGGTCACTGAACATTGCACTGATAGAAAACACGATTTATTTTACAAATTGCTTCTTATAATTAGACTTGGCCTTATTAAAATTCAGATAATCATATGGTAGGGGGATACATATTTAACACAGCCTACTGATCATTGTTGTCTACAAAATCCTATCAGTTGTAGCTATATGCAATATTTACCCCATGACTATCACTATCCCTTTTTATTCTACCATCAGTTTCCACAAATGCGTTAAATATTGCTGTCATATATAGGCTGATGCTTCTATTATTTATTTAAAGATCCTTGAAAGAATCCAATGAAATATCTGCAATTTTATAGGTCATAACTTCACATCTCGGCTTCAATCACTTTTCCACCGACGTAATGTAGCTTCCCTCGGCCTTTTCTATGAATAGTTTCATGGTAATTATTCAGATGAGCTTTCCTCTTTATTACCTATGAATTTAAGCGCAGGACTAGATTGGCAGATAGGTTTCATAATTTCACTGTTGAATTTGCTAGTTTTAACCGTTAAGTTCTACGCGGTAATAAAAAAAATACAAGACCGACTTACTAACGATAACCTTTAACGAGTGTCTACACATAGGAAGTAATCTCGCCTTACAAACTATCCTGTGTTCCCTTTAAATATATGGTTATTTCCTAAGAGTAGCTTAGACGTGGCACAATGCCGAATGTATGAGTCACCCAGTGAGGATTAAACTTACTAATCAGTCGTAATTGATCTAGTGAGATAAGCTTAATTAGTGGTTTACGCAGTGAAACTTACATGTGGCGCAAAGCCGAAATTATGGAGCATCTATTGAGGATCGAACTCACTTCTCAGTCGTAATTGATCCAGTGAGATAAGCTTAGATAGTGGTTTACTAAGCGAAGCTGAGATGAGGCAAAAAGTCGAAATTATGGAGCACCTAGTGAGGAACAAACTCACTACTTAGTCGTAATTGATCTAGCGAGACAAGCTTAAATATAGATTTTCTAAGCGAAGCTTAGATACGAGCTTACGTAAGTAAGGATCGAACTCACGAATCGGTGGTAATTGATCTATCAAAATAGGCTTGCTGGCCATCACACCTTGTGGAAGTACTCTCCCATTTCATGATATGCCTTGGCACCAGTTCAGTAAATATTTATAAACAGATACTTGTCCTGCTTCGTAGTGGGATTCACACTGGGTCGCAAATTCCGATTTTCTCGACGGATCGGCCATCGACTTTAATGGAGTCACTTAATAAATGTCTTTGCTTTTATTCCAAATCAGCTCTCGTTGTCATCATTGCTACGCCATTACAATTTAGAAGTCTAGATGTGCTAATTCACTCGGGCGTTAAGATAATTAAACTGACACATCTACTTCCGCCAATGAATTATTCAACAAAGATGACTTAAGTTATGCTATAGTCGGGAATTAATTCATTTTCCCTTATATTCGAGGAAAAAAGACTCAAGATTGTTCTCTTTCACACTGGACAAACTCGTCAACTTCCGGTGACAAAATTAGACAAATAAAACGTTCTACTAGAATGAATTCAAATATGATTATTGATTTGTTGTGCTTTTTTTTTTTGAGGTGGGGGGGTATGGACTATCTACGTCATTTAAAGTTAAAGACAGAAAATATTTTTACATTATAAGAATTTTTCGGGTATAATAATGATTTACTGATATAGGCTCTACTACAGAGCTGGCGGAGACATGATGAATTCATAAAATTCCCAAGAGTATTTGCGCGTAAAGAGAATATAATTTACTCAACTGGAATTGGAACCGTCTTTCCGATTTCCAATGAGGTTCTTTTATCTATTACACCAGCCGTACATCCAAGATTATAGCACCCGATATTCTCAAACAGTCACCCATCTAGTTACTGACCAGGCTCGACACTGCTTAAATTCGGTAATCCTAAGAGGACCGGTGTTTCAACGTCATAGCGCCGTAAGCCTCTGAATTCGAATAGATAGATAGATAGATAGATAGATAGATAGATAGATAGATAGATAGATAGATAGATAGATAGATAGTAAATAAACTGAGATAGAAAGATAGATGAGATAGATAGATAGATAGATAGATAGATAGATAGATAGATAGATAGATATGAAAAGACAGAGATATGAAAAGATAGATAGATAGATTTTTCCTAGAAACGGTCACCCATCTAGTTACTGACCAGGCTCAACGTTGCTTATTCTTTAATCCTAAGAGGACCGGTGTTTCAACGTCATAGCGCCGTAAGCCTCTGAATTAGAATAGAATAGAATAGATAGATAGATAGATAGATAGATAGATAGATAGATAGATAGATAGTAAACAGCCTGAGATAAACAGATAGATAGATAGATAGATAGATAGATAGATAGATAGATAGATAGATAGATAGATAGTAAACAGCCTGAGATAGATAGATAGATAGATAGATAGATAGATAGATAGATAGATAGATAGATAGATAGATAGATAGATAAACTGGGATAGTAAACAAATTCAGATAGATATATATATATAGATAGATAGATAGATATGATTATTCACAAATTAGGCGTTAGATCGGTGCAAATTTAACTGAGTCAAAATGGGGTAGAAAGATTGACTTGCAATGATCTCCCAAGTGGAATAGGCGTATCTTAATTCCTAGAAAATCAGCATTCGAAAACTTTGCCTTTAGCTAGGTAGAAATATCACTGGCGCCAGTAAGTAATACATAACTATCTACTCTATTAGTCAAGTTCAATACAAAGAAATATTTGAACGTTATATTTTGTAGAATTGTGAATTTTAAATACGTTTCCGAAACTTATTGAAAATTATCACTTTTCGAAATCTGTTTTCAGACAGAAAGAAAGCGATAAAATTCTGGTAAATTAAAAGTTTGGTTGCATATTCGCGAAAAGCGATTCCCTTTTAAAGTCAGAAACCTAGTTTTGTTTTACGGTCAAAGGTGAACTAAATTGCAGCTCGTTTAACGATCGGCTCAAAACAAAATAAAAAAATGCGTAGAAAAGGCTACAGAACATACATGAAAATCAAATCAAAATAAAAAGTAATCTAAAAACATCTTGAGAATGAACGTTAGAAATATAAAACATGTTGTATCTGACGACATATGGGACGCTAAAAAAAAAAAGAACAAAGATCATTGCCTAAAAAATTATCCAGTGGACGTGAATTTCTTTTGTATGCAACTATCTAACCTTGACAGCAGATAATGACTTTCGCAGATAGAACTGAGGACAACTTTTTCAACATATGAGAAGAAAATGCAAAAATAATGAGCAATAGTGATTTTCCAAGCGTAGCTTGGATGTGGCACAAAGCCGAAAGCAAGGGGCACCCTGTGAGGATTGAGCTCACTACTGAGCCGTAAATAGTTCTAGCGAAACAAGCTTGCTAACCATTACACCACCTGGAGATGCCCAATCGATATACATACAGAGTGTAAACAAATCCTGACAATCTAGAAAAAAAAATACAGGAATGTCATCATTAGCTAATTATACTGTTTTTACTTATTAAAATATTCCTGGAAAGGACTACCTTCCGTTAAATGACGATTTCAGGACGTAGACGATAATGCCTCTTGGTAATTTACTGTTTTTTCTTTCTGTAAGTATTTTTTTTTTTACTCTTAACCATCCATCTTTGTTCTTTTTTAAATCATTCCACTCCAAGCAAGGCGATAAAGCCACTAAAACGTAAGGGGTCACTGGGAATGAAAGTGAATGATTTTAGTGAGGGCAAGCAAGGAGAAAGGTCAATAAAAGAACAGAGTTCAGGAAAACGGAAAAAAAAGCGATTGGCGTTGCATTTAAATTTTTGAAGTTTGTAGGTGGAAGGAAAGCAAGACATCGGAAATAAGTTCTACAAGAGAGAAGTGCGTGAAAAAAAAACTGTTATAATGTTATATAATGTAAACTATAATGTAAAGTCACTATTAGTGTAGAAAATACGGTTGCATCTAGCCGGTTCTTCCATCATATCACGAACATATGTATCATCTGAGAGATGTCTGAGGCTGACCTTCAGGCCAGTGACTCGTTACGCCTTCTCAGGCTAACGTTCTCGGCTAACATGAAGTGGAAAGACTATATTGAATCCATTGCAAAGTCTGCTGCCTAGAGTTTTGGTTCATTATGTCGTGCTATGCGGTTTTTTTCTCTCAAAATTCTATCTCACATATCTATGTCTATTATTCGTCCATGCTTAGAATATTACTGCCACATATGACCCTGTGCTCCTTTGACCAAATCAAAAGAAGAATCAGCAATATTATTTGCTCCGATCTGGCATCTCGGCTTCAAAAACTTTCCCACCTCCTTAAGGTTGTCTGCCTGTGCATCTCTGTAAATACTTTCATGGTAATGGTTCATATGAACTCTTTACTATGATGACTAGACTCTTCGAATTTAAGAGAAGTAACAGACCGGGAACAAGGTCTCAACAATTTAAAGTCGAGTTAGCTAGATTTAACCGTAAATTCTATGCTACCAGTTTCTTTTCGTTTGTGGATCCCCCTTCCGGTCGATGCTTTCCAACAAACTTTAATTTGCAAAAATTTAAATGTCATGTCAATCGCTATCTGCTGTCCTTCTCCTCATTACTATTCCTCAGTTCTTGCTCCTTAACAATATTCCTGTTTCTAACTCTTCTACACCCAGTAACCCCTTGCATTTCGGTTGCTTCACTAACTTGCTTGGTGTGATCACGATTTAAAAAGAAAAAAATATAAATCACCCATCGATTGATTAAAAATTGATTAAAAAAAGTAGTAAGTTAACCATTTCCATCTTATTATCTGGCCTTCAGTAACATCTGTGAGGGTTCAATTCAATTCGTCCATGCTTAGAATATTGCTGCCAAATATGGCCCGGTGATCCTGCTATCTATCAAGAGTTCTTTGATCAAATCCAAAGAAGAATCAGCAATATTATTGGACTCGATCTGGCATCTCTGCAACTGACACTTTCGCACCACCGTAAAGTTGCCTGTCTTTGCCTTTTCTATCAGTCTGGTGCAAAAGCAATGTCCGATTTTTGAGAAGAAAGATTTAGATAGTAATTATTAATGTCACAATAAGTAATTTATACCGTCCTCTTTCAGATTATAAAAATCATTTTTATGATCTTCCGAAATATTCGCACCTATGTTCGTCCCATCTATAGATCACATTCGACATATCTTGCTCTATGAGTTCCATTTAAGGTGTCAATGCAAGTACAGCAGCAAAGTCTATTGACAGCACTTATGAAGATGATACAGTGAATGAAAAAAAATTACAAGAGGTGGTTTTCCTGTTTCCGAAGTGGGGGATTTCAGTTTGAATGACAAGCAAAAAGAGGGTCATCTAAAAACTTTATTAGGGAAAATTGAAAGCTGCTCCTGTATCTGACTCTTCTATACCCCTTGCGTCTCTATGGATTTACTGCCTTATTTGGGATGAACCTGATTTTTTAAAAAAATAGTAAGTTACCTATTTCCATCTTCTTATCTGGCCTTCAGTAACCTCTGTGAGTGTTCAATTCTCCAAGCACTCTTTTTCTTTCATTCCCTGTTTTCTGATTGAAAGTATAAGCTTCCTTGTTGTTTTTACTTTACCTACGACTTATTCGTTGATCAAATATTCTGTCCATATGTATCCTATATTTGATAAGTATATTGAAATTGTATGTGCAATCAATTCAATCAATTGAATATTTGTGAAAGCACGACTGTAAAAATTTATGCAGTTCAGCTGGCGTGTCATAAATTATCGAATCAATATAAATTTTATTAGTCAATTTGCCGAGTTGCCAAAACTAAGTTTTTCTGATCTAAAAATCTAAAACATATTGACCAATTTTTTTTTTAAATATTGAAGACTCGTATTTTTATAACTGCATCTCTTATGTCTGTGTATTCACCATACAACTAACACTCTCTCCCGAAGATTAACTTGTTATTTGTCACTTTTGAATATTTTTCATGGTCATACTATACTCATCCACTGTCTAGCATTAAAGTTTACATATGAAATCCAATGTTAATAGTAAAAAGATTATTTTCATATTCTTGGAGTCTTCATCATAGAATCAGATAACGAAAGATCTTTTTCAGTTTGTGAACTGGAATTGGTATATGTTTAGTATGTTTTTTCTAAGTTACAATTTACTACTGCTGGATTGTTTGATTTAATGATTAACTCTTCTAGTATTTGTAAGCGCTTTCTTACCTGTTTTTTTTTTGTGTGTGTGTGTGTGTGTGTGTGTGTGTGTGTGTGTGTGTCTGATGTTTCTTTTTTTCGTTTAGATTGTACTTGCTATGTACATGAATTCACTACATCACGGCGCTGACTAACATGCCTTTTATCGGTAATAAATTAATTAAATCGCATATTAAAAATCATAACGACAAAAATAAAACAGAAAAAAATCTGATGAATTCTTACCAAATAACTACAAAATAATTTATCAAATGGACAGTAAAACACGACTACAAATTCTAGAAGCATTAAGCATAACATTGCAACGGCCCAACATCATAAAAATCTAACAACACAACATCAATATGAACAGATGTATCTATATTACAGGATCTGAAGATATATTTTAATTAGAAAGTCATTGTGTGTACCAAGTTACTTTTTTAATACAACTCTTTCTTTTTATTTTTATTTGCTAGTTCTTACGTTTTCTATTTTTTTTTCTATTTCTGATGAAGAATGTTGTTCTAAAGACACTCAAACTTTGACCTGCTGCTTTTATATTCTTTTCTATTCAATTTCCTTGGTTTGTGTCATTTTTTCATAATTTATACAAATGGGCTTTTATATTCATTCACAATTAATGTTTTGTCTTCTTCCACTTAGTATAGATATCAGGTTTTATTTTTACGATAACATAAGCTCCCCAGTACGTATGGGAAAATAGTGGTATTCAGAATTTTAGGCCATTTTTCTTCCCTTTCAATCCCAGACTTCCAATATTCCACTTACTCTGTTGAACATATTAATTGTTTCCCGTTATATTTTTTGTGAAATGTTCAATCAATACAAAGCCCAAGAGCCACTCAATTTAGAGATTTAATAAATGAGGTTGTTGCATGAATGTGATAGAAAGACGATAGCGCATATTTTAAGATATGTACGATAGATAACAGCTGAGATTTTACTTGAAGATGTTGAAATATGTAGTGAATTGGGAAGCATCCACTCTAGAATCTGTTCCAAAATATAGCAATTTGGGTGGGGGGAAGAAACTGTCTGAATGTCACTTATTTTTTTATCAATGGAATACGAAGAAAAGCATGATCATTTGACCCTTTGTTGGTTGTCTGAAGGGTGCTAGCTATAAAGAACTGAACTGGGGGAACTAAGAAATTTAACTCGCTATGAAAATAGCGATAGAGCTGAGAGAAGCATGCAACGTTTTGTCTGTTGGTTGGGAAATAAATGAACACTCAAAAGGTCGCAGTAAATGCTTTTGAACTCTTTCAAAACTAGAAAATGAGAACTGGACAGATCCGGCCCGGGAGGGGGGGTCTATCCCAGTATATCTGATGGTTAACATTTCTCCCTCGGGGACAAGTGCTTCCCGTTTAAGAGACAATGTATTGGAAACTAAGAGGAACATATATCAGAATTTTAGTCATTGTTTTTTTTTTTTTTTGTCTTTTTTAACTATCTGGGTATGCAAAATAAAATATAGTTTTCATGTCTTTATTATTTCTTCCGATTTCCCATTAGTCAAAGATCCAATAATTGTCATTTTAAATTTTACTTAATACGTGGGTATAAAGTTCGATTTAAAATGTTCATTTTCTTCTTATAGACATACATTCCATAGGCAGACACATGTACCAAAGTACACTTCCGTAAACGTGCCTACGTTGTAATATATATCAATTATATCAATATATATATAAGCGCAGTGCTAGATTGGCGGCAAGGTCTCATCATTTTACAATTATATCAATATATTTGTGTGTGTGTGTGTGTGTGTGTGTGTGTGTGTGTGTGTGTGTGTGTGTGTGTGTGTGTGTGTGTGTGTAATACATATAAGTAATCCTTGGACTTATGTTGTCACTAATTTTCATAAATGATATGCTTGGTGTCATCAATTTTCAGGTCGGTATCTACACTGACGACACAACTATTTACTCCTGTCTTAAGATTAAATCTATCAGTTCGATAAGGTCAAATTGGCAGCTGATTTAAAAAAAATAACCTACAATCTGTTATGAAATGAGAGAAAGGAATGACTTGTTAATTGTAACGTCTCTAAAATGAAACAGCGCCCTCTTAATCACCTGAGAGAACCCTTTTTACCTTCCATGGCTGATTCGGACCTCCAGAACAGTGACTCATTACACCTTCTCGGACTGACGTTTTTTTACTGGCATGAAGTGGAAACGGTATATTAAATGAATTGCTGAGTTTGCAGCTAAATATTTGGTTCACTGTGTCGTGCATGAATTTTTTTCTCGCCGGAATCTATCTTGAATTTTTTATAAGTCTACCATTGGTCCTTACTTTGATTATTGCTACCACTTCTGGTCTGGTGTTCCTGGTGTATATTTAGAGATTCTTGTTTAACTCCAAAGAAGAATCTGTAATGTTATTGGTCTAGACCTGGCAACTCGCGTTTAGTCACTTTCGCATCTCTGTAGTATAGCTTTCTTTTGCCTTTTCTAGAAATACTTTCGTGGTAATTATTCTGATTACCTTTCTTCTCTGATACATAGACTTTATGAAGTTAAGGGCAGTGCTAGATTGGCGGCAAGGTTTCATCATTTTACAATTAAAATATCTAGATGTAATCTTAATTTCTATGCTAAAATTTTCTTCTGTCACACTTCTCCCTTGTGGAACTTTTTTCCGGCTTCTTTCTTCCCAGTCAACTTCGATGTTCAAAAATATATATACAAATTCAGTCGTTATCTTCTGTCTTCTTAAATTTAATTCTTGTTGATTTATTTTCCTCACTCCTTAATAGCTAGTGACTGTATTGCCTTGCTTGTAGTGAAATGATTAAAAAATATACTCACCGTTATTTGAAGAAATTTCTTTCTTAGGACCAATTCAAAAGAGGGTTTGTTTGAAACTAGTATAAAATTAATGAAATAGAATATTAATATATCGAAAAACATTAAATAATGAAAGACAAGGAAAATTCGGACTCCAGGCATAAATCTGTTAGATATGGGGGGATTTTTCCACTTGTAAATTTCACATGTGGTTCAGTTTTCTTTTTGCGAATTTCTCGATTAGCCCCACTAGCAGGTTTACCGAAATTGCAAAGACGTAACATTAAGTCTTTTTTTTGTGTGTGTGTATGATTTCTTTACTTATGGACCAACTTAGAGTTAAGGAAACTATTAGGCGAAAATAAAACTCCTTCTAGAAAAGTTAAAAGATTTCCTCCCCAGAATCAATATTCAGGACGCTTATGGCCATATCAATTTGAAACATCAGTTCCTGTCCGATCACCGAACTTCGATCCCGATCATTAACAAGATGAGTGACTGCTTGGTAATCCCAGGTGCTGTAAATTTGGATATGCGGCCGTTGCAATGGATAACGTTTCGGAATGAGAATCGGAGAGCCGAGTTCGAATTCCAGTTCGTTATATTCGCTTACGCGCAAATACTCTTAAGAAAGTTATGAATCTTCCTCTTTTAACCCCAGCTATAGGTTAATGAGTAGGAATTGTATCAGTAAATCATTGTTATCGTCCCAAAATTATTACAATTTAAAAATACTTTCTCGCTTTAAGTAACCTGCAAAAGATTGGTAAACCGTAAAAAAAAAAACAAATCATTCAATGAATACATGAATCGCTCGATTAGTGCAGCTAATGTGTACATTAAAAGATACGCACTAATCGAAAACAGATTGAACAAATACAAATAAAATTGAAAAACAAAATTTAACTATTTTCTATTTTTTAATTTAATTTTTTAGAAAATTTTTTAATTAATCAGTAACTATAAAAAATCAATTTTCACTTACTACGGTTAAACTGAAGAATGTTTTACCGCACATTATGTATGCACTAATCGAACTTTGGTATATCAAAATTTTAGCTCACTAATCGAAAACATTAATCAAATGCGCATTAATCAGGAATTTCTGTATTTAGTCTAAGATTGCGTTGAAAAATTCTTGCAAATTCCACTGGTCTAAATTTATCTAAAAAAACAATAATGAGAAAGTCAGATGAATTTTACTCTTAGCAGGTCAATGCTAAAACTTAATAAGAGAAATCAGAAGAATCCTCACATAAAAATTATATAATGAATTTCGATAATTAAAGATAAGCATGACATTTCGATGCCTTATTTCATGAGTAGCTGAAACAAGCAAACATTGGAGACTTAAAATATTTTCCTCTTCAAATTTGACTCTAAAATTCTTAGATGCTTTTTCGTTGGATTTCTAAGCAATCGTCGATAGAACTATGTTTATGTCTCTTCAAGATATTCTGATCCATTGCCGATATGTCGATGTGTAATTAAATATTATGCTTACTTAAAATAGGGAGATTTTTCGAGAAAAGAATGTTTTTTTTTCTTCTTGCTAAATAATTAAACTTTCAGAAAGATATACTCAGCTACAAAACTTTTGCTCTCTCCATTCTTCTTCATGTAATTTATCGTCATTTTTTTTAATATTCAATTGTCCATGATAAAAAGAGAGTTTTATCATCTTGCACCGGTGTCATCAGAAGAAAATACTTCGCAAATGTTAAACGCCTTACTGAGAATCACTTTTCGTTCATTTACTTTTTCCCTATACGATAAGAAAATAGAATTCTTCAGATTAAACATTTTTTTTATTTAACGAATTTCGAAAGAACCGTTGGCACAATTCTTATTTTGATTAATGCTTAGAATAATTTTTGCACTGATAAAATGCTAGCGTAAAATTTCTCTTGAAGAAATAACTGTCTTTGAGAAGAATAAAGAACTACTTACATCTAATCGAATACCTTAAAGCATCAAATGTAAGATCAATAAGACCGCCATATTGCCTGTTATTCTGTTTAGAATCGATTGTGTCAGTTGGATCTCAGATGTATGTAAGAAAATTGTAACCCTTCAAAATCTTATCATGAGCTTCATAATAAACCATATCTGTCAGATCATCAAAACTAAGCGACTAATTACAGTGTCCACCATCAAAAGTAAGTAGTTAAATTTAGAAACCTACATAAAACTCGCTAAATCTGGTTTATCCAAAATCTTCTGCGAGGTTTTGATATTGGCAAGATAAATTAAGGCAAGCAAGCCAAAAGAAGGCGTCACAATGTGCATGAATAGTTCGCATTTAATGGTGTTAAATACATCCACTCGAAGTTGAGATTTCTAAGAGCGTTAATAACTGTATTTTATGCTGGTCAACACTATGAAATATAGAGAGCTGACCACCATAAAGAAGCAGAAACTGGCGTGGTATGGCCATGTAACCAGATGCCGAGACCTGTCCAAGACCATCGTACAAGTAACAATACAAGGATGAAAGAGAAAGAGACACCAAAGATAGAGATAGTTCGACACTGTCGTCGATTGAACCAGCGTATGTTTTGCCGAGAACCAGGCTCTGGCCAATGACCAGATCAAGTAGAAGCTTCATGTTGAATCAAGCCACCATGGTAACGAGACAAGAAGAAAAGGAAGAACTATATTTTCGTGTTCATTACGCTGTAAGTGGAGATTAAAATGCAAATATCGAATGCAGGTCATGTTTGATTTTAAGACCTTTTGAATCATATGAAATTAGAAAATTTAACGCTTTAATGTGGCCATGAAAATAACAAAAATTATTACTTACTGAAGTAATTTATAACTATCTATTACAGTCCGAGAACACTTCTTCGTTTATGTACTGCTGCCTCAGGATGGAGCAATCATGGCTCCTACAAATTCCGAACCTTTGTACCTCTTTCTAATATTTGCCTCAACTCCAGGCAGTACCTTAAGTGGTACTTACATAATGAAACAATTGCTAAAGTGGGGCTTACGGATACTTCACCTTGAAACACCGATTCCCTTATGATGACCTAAGTTAGACAACGTCAAGCCTAATATTTACATAGATGGGTAACCGCTTGAGAATACCACGCACTGTAAGCTTGGGTGTGCGTCCGGTGTAATAGATAATGGCTTGGAATTTTTCATCGGTGGGCCGAATTCAAGTTGGGTTCGTTATATTCTCTAACATACAAATAAGTATGAATCCATATACCCTTCTCCCTTAGGTATGGGTTAATTAGTAAGACTTGTATCACTAAATCATTATTATCTCCCCCAAATTTCTTACAATCTAAAAAAAAATCTTGTATGGTAAATAAATGGCGATTAAATTATTTTTAAGGAATTTAAAAAAAATCATTTAATCACCAGTTACTTATCAGCGCCTGAAGAAGTGCAATCATAGTATATATATATATATATATATATATATATATATATATATATATATATATATATATATATATAAAAAAAGAAGAGAAAAAACGGAAACGTTTTTGTTAGAATGTGGATTTTTTTTTTAAATAAAGCAAAATATATGTTTTTAAAAAATCCACATTACAACCAAAAACGTTTGCGGTTTTTCTCTTCTTTTTACATCTTTTTAATATACACACACATTTTCTCTCGTTGGAACTACTATAACCTCTTCCCTTTGAAGTAAACTCTCAGAGGCAACATGCTAGACACATTCGTCAGGCCGACGATTGCGTCTAGCATGAAACAGCCTGTCGCCTCTGAGTATTGACTTCAATGTTCACTTTTAAACATGTATAATGAAACCAAACTCTAATAATTACATCGATCACTACTACATGCCTATCCAGACGACTTACCTTACACCTATCCGACCACAGCTCCATGAGAACCCATTTAAAAACACAAACCTACCAGACATCTTCTGAAACATGCTAGTAGAAAGTATAAGCATAATAACCTCATCCATATGTAAAAAAAAAGATTTAAAATAACGGAAGCCCTAATAATAAAAAAAGAAAAAAGCCAACACACAATAACATTAACTACGAAAAATGCCAGAATTTTCTGACCGTGTTTGGAAAATAAAACACCTTTCTAACTCTAGATACTTACAACAAAACCCTATACATTCAGTTATAAAGTAGAAATGAAATCATCCTTGATAATTGCTAAAAGTATAGCCGAAGTGCACGAAAATGCAGAACATTTGGGTAGTTTTTACACATTTTGTGTCCAGAAAAGAAAACTCTTGTACGAACTCAAGACAAATTAAATGAAAAGCTTAATCACAGTACCTTTTCAGTCATCTTTAAGGAAACATGTATAAAAGAGGTATTGCTGCCTAAATACACAATATATATATATATATATATATATATATATATATATATATATATATATATATATGCGTTTGTGTGTGTGTGTGTGTGTGTGTGTATTTGGAAGTGGGAGGGTGTCCTAATTAATTTGAGAAGAAAGTGATCCGAAAATGATTTCATATATTTCGTTCTCTTTTGTTTCTGCCTCTGTCTTCGATTAAATTCCCTCTTTGTTTCCTCTCGTTCACTTATTAGTAGTAGTATTGTTGTTGTTGCCGTTCTTTCTCTTTTTCTTTATCTCTTTATCTCTCTTTCCCCTATCTATTCATATCCACCAGTTCTTATGTCCCGACTTAGTGATGAGTCACCAGTTCATCAATATCCGTACATCGATCGACTGAGGAGCACAATGCTCGTCTTCCTGCACTTCCTTTTCCCCTACTCTTTCTCCTCTTCCTCCTGCTGCTACCCAACACGACCTTCACGTATCGGGATATTTTATTGTCTATACATCATCTGTTCATTGTTTTTAATCTTTGCTTTCTTTCTTCATTTCTATTTTTTTTTTTTTTAAGTCACAATATAATTTTTTTCCACCGGAAATTAAACTTTTGCTCAATACTAGCACTTGGTTAGTACGACTATAATTGACCACGTCTTTTCCTTTAAAATACAGAATCACTGATTCATAGCTATTTGCGTGTTCATCGTCGGATACTTATGCGTTTACAGTGAATAGAAAAATAATTTCTCCTCGGGTTGAACGAAGATCTGCAAATCGAATACTTAACATCAAGTAAAGCAGACAGATTAAATCAAGTCGGAACATACGCCATTTTGTAAAGTTTAGCCATCCAGTCTTGTTTAGCGATCCTGTTAGTGAATTCAACTGTCAATAATCTACGCAGATCATTATGCTCTATCTTCAACACCACTATCAGAGATATTCGAATGGAAGCCAAATGGTTGTACGGTAAATGCGGGGATGGTATTTTTTTTTCTTTTTTCATGAAAAATTGTGGAGTTTTGAATTTTATAATGTTTCCTAAGGTACCCAATATTTCTTAATATTTTCTCGAATTTGTTTTTCATTCAATATTTTTCGTCGAATTTAATGAGTTATTACGAATTATTAAGTTATTAAACAAAAAATTAGAATACTACGTTGAGACGTAAGTAAGGGTCGTTCTTGGATATCAATAGTAATAACGAATATCGCATCCAACATCGTGATGGGTAAATAATAGCAGGTAATAAAAAGTGGGTTAAATACAACTGCGTTCAGCGCAAAAAGGTAGATTTGAATAGCATAAAAGAAAAGTTATATTGCGCATGTGCTAGGATCACCGGATTCATTTAGAGATCTTAAAACGCAATGAACCACAAAATGCACATTTACAAGTTAAGCAGCTACAATGTGTGCCATAATGTTTTGACAAACAGTTCACATCAAACGTCAAAAGGAAAAATGCTCTTCTCCTGCATGACAACGCGAGTCTACATACAGCAAGAATAATACAAAAAAAAATTGGAACTACTTGGTCTGGTCAACACTACTCATCATATTCATCTGAACTTGCATCAAACAATTATTATATTTTTCAATCGCTGCAAAAAGCTTTGATGGGGAAAACTTTCTCTAAAAACACAAAGGAAGAACAGCTATTTCAAATGAATTCTGCAGACTTTTACTAAATATCTAAGCGTTTCCGGAGAAGTGACACCAATTCGTCGCAAATGATTTTGAACATGTAATTGAATAAAATGTAATTGTACTTTAAGATTAAAGTTGATAAACAAAACAGAAATTATTTATCATTCAACCTTACAGAATTAAATAACAGCAAATTCTACAGAATTATACCAATTATTTGGAACTTTAGATATTTTGAAACTTATGTAACGTATTACAATTCAACCAAATATTGTAATGCAATGATGCCGCGTTTTTTAAATTGTGGTGAGTCGCCTCTCATTATCCAGATGTCTTGTCTAATATTTAAGAACTCACCAGGAAACAATTACAAGGCATTTACACCGGCTGGAACATTTGTATCAAATGTCTATCATCTGAGTTGTGAAATCAAATTCATTTAATTGCAGCACATCTGTGGAAGGAGCATATTAAATTGGAGTAGATATAGTTTTCTAGTTTACCGGTGGAGTGATAGAAAAACTAAATGTTGTCGAGTACCTGAACATCGCCACAAGATGGACTGGTCTAAGACTATTTAAACAGCACATACACACTCTCTCTCTCTCTCTCTCTCTCTCTCTCTCTCTCTCTCTCTCTCTCTCTCTCTCACTGAGAGAAAGGAGTTAACGATTACAGTTAACTCTATTTGTCAACTCTTTGCCTCTGGACGGAGAGGAACCCAGACTAGGCTATACCGAAGAGCAGAGTCTCGTCTGGGGAGGTAGATAGCTACCCGGCTCCGTGTATACAGGATCTACGGGCGGAGAGGGATATATACTGAATACAGGATCTTTGGGCGGAGAGGGCCCCAGACGAGGCTATACCGAGTCTCGTCTGGGGAGGTAGATAGCTACCCGGCTCCGTGTATACAAGGTCTACGGGCGGAGAGGAATATATACTGTATACAGGATCTCTGGTCGGAGAGTAACCCAGCCGAGTCTATACCGAGTCTCGTCTGGGGAGGTTGATAGCTACCCGGCTCCGTGTATACAAGGTCTACGGGAAATTTTTCCCCGAGCCTACGCGCTCGGAAAGCCCTACATTATAAACCGTCGGTGTACTACATCCCGCCTTGTGAAGGGGTTTCGGCTAAATACCAAAGAGTTAAAGATTAACTGTTTACTATATTATTTTGTGTTCTCAACCGTGTACGATATTATTCTCCGGAATAAACTATTCTTACTTTCTATTTGTCTGTTACCCTTTCCTATTTACGACACAGTACTAAAGTTACGTTAAGGTAAAGTAACCTTTTCTTAAGAGACATGTTTATTCAAGATATGGACGATCATGCCTCTACCCAGCTGCCTGTCTCTTATTGTTATAGTTAAATTTGACCCTTTTCTATCCACTTTGGTCGTTGTTAAGTCATCAATTCACAAAATCACTAGTTGTTTGTTCGCCTTATTTTTTTGCCTTTAGTATGGGAGAATTAAATTTTTTTGGTCATCTTTCCACACTTTCTGACTGTAAATTTCTTTAAAGTTCATCGTTTCTCTAAAACATCTTCGTTTCCCACAGACACTATCTACAGAATTTAAAGACACCCACAATACAACGATTTTTTGGATTTTGACAATTAGTCGCTTACTTTTTGCGCAGTAATTA